TCTTACACCACACTTTTCTCTCTATAAAAAACCCCAAAATTAATAACCTTAGCTATGAGGTAAGTATTTCTCAGCAAGGAATTAATGGTTATGAGTGCCAGGTACAATCTGTAAGCTTTGACCCTCTCTTAATGTATTATGTGTGACTTAAGCACTTTGTTTAGGAAGCTACAGAACGATGCTCTGTCTTTAAAAGAGGAAACGAAGCTCCAGGTTTCACAAAACCTTCTGCAATGTTGTTAGGCAGTTTATTTGCTTCTCAAGAAGAGCCCCATTCCAGCAATTTTTCCCTTTCTATTTCTTTTATCCTTTATCTTCCTTTATGTGCAGACAAACTGTGATTCTAGGAGGCACAGCAGCTGCCTTCCCAACATTTTTAACATCAATCCTTCCCGCAAGCTCCTTAAAACAGCAGGGTTATTTTAAAGGCGTAAAGAGCTTTAATGTTAGCTGTAGCTTTAGCAGTGACGGGAATTCCAAGCACGAGAAGCCACCGCCTGCCCCGGTCTCCAACAGTTAAATTGTCTGCAGAAGATACAAAAGTTACAAGGATTGTCAAAAAACAGCACTAAGGCAGCTCTTAGCACCGAGGACTTGGAGAACACACGCCTTTTAAAGAAGAAAAAGGAGAAAAGAAATGGGAAGCGCAACGCAGCGGCGAGATCACCCCTTCGATGTTGTCAGGTGCTTTAGAAAGCAGAACCAGAGTTTTCCACAGCGCAGTAAGAGGCAAACCCGCGGCGTTCCCTTGGAAATGCTCCGCAGTTGCTCAGCACTGCTGTTTTTATACACGAGTGGCACGTTCTAACCAAAAATTAACTCTGCCCCAGGCAAACCCAGCAAAGCAAGCCAGCTGTGAAATACCATCAACACCAGTCCACCTGCTCCCAGACCTCCCGACCAGGTTTTGGAGTAGCTCAGCTGGGTCAGAACGGAGGTTATTCCGCCTGCAAAGCGCGCACACGCGGCACCGCCGACCAACCGGGCGCTCCGGGTCGGTTTCCCCCGCGCCTGTCCCTCACCCGCACTCGGACCGGGCTCACCGTCCCCAGAGCCTCCCGCCGCGGGACACCCCGGTCCCCGCCGGGGCCCCGCCGTGAGGTCCCGCAGAGCTCCGGCTCTGCTCGGGCCGGGACGCGCGGGCGGCACCGGAGGTGACCGGGGGCAGCGGGGACGGGGGTTCAGCGCCTGCGCACCCGCCGCCCGCGCAGCCCCAACCGGCAACTGACGGGCCTTGAGGGGGGGCGCGGGAGCCCGTCGGTGAGCGCGGCCTCCGCCCGCTGTGATTGGCTGAGGGCCCGCTGGCGGGAGATCCGATTGGCTGCGGCGTGGGGGGCGTGGCGCTGGGATGAACGGCGTGGGGGGGGGAGCGGGAAGTGAGAGGGGTTGTGAGGGCTGTGGGGGGGGAAGCACGCGCGCTAGGGGAGCAGTGGGGAATTTCTGTGACTGAAGTGTCACAGAGTCAATTAGATGGAAAAGAGCTCTGAGATTGTCGACCTCAACCTATGGCCGACGACCACTTTGTCAACTAGACCATGTCTCTCAGTGCCGCGTCCAGTCTTTCCTTGAACACCTCCAGGGACAGTGACTCCACCGCTTGCCCCGGCAGCCCATTCTAATGTCTAACTGTTGGAGTACCCTTTTTGTGAAGAAATTATTCTAAATTATTCTTAAGGTCCAACTAAAAACCTCCCGTGGTGCAGCTTGAGACTATGACCGTCCTGTCCCTGTTCCCTTGGAGCAGAGCCCGACCCCCACCTGGCTGCCCCCTCCTGTCAGGAGTTGTGCAGAGCCAGAATATCCCCCCTGAGCCTCCTTTTCTCCAGGCTGAGCCCCTTTCCCAGCTCCCTCAGCTGCTCCTCCTCAGGCCTGTGCTCCAGAGCCTTCCCCAGCTCCGTTCCCTTCCCTGCACACGCTCCAGCCCCTCAATGTCCGGAACTGAGGGGCCCAGAACTGGGCACAGCCCTGGAGGTGACCTCGGCAGTGCCCAGCACAGGGGACAGTCCCTGCCCTGCTCCTGCTGCCACCCACCGGGATGAAGGGGCAGAGCTGAGGGGAGCCATGGGGGCTGTGGCGTGAACCCTCCCAAGCAGAGCAACGTGGTGTTTCCAGGGAGCTCAGGGGTTTGTCATGGATGTGTTGTACCCCCGGCGCGGGATGCAGCTCACTTTGGGGCTGTTTGCTCCGCTTCCCATTGCTGTAGAAGAGCACCGTGAGGTGAGGCTGCGATGGGACACGTCCTTGGGAGTGTCCCGGTGTTTTCCCAGCACGCCCATAATTTGCCTCCTGCCTCCTTTGCAGGTGCCCGGCAGCCCCAGGCTGTCACCTTTTCGAGGCCGTGCTGCTTGTCACCATGACTCCTCCATGACTCCATCTCCCTTTTGGTCACACAGCTCTGTAAATTGGATGTTCATATTCTTTCACACACATTGCCTTTTGTGGTCTCTTGTGGAAAAAAAAAAAATGTTTACCCTAAAACTCAGAATACAGGCAGGAAATGGTCAGGTGTTGCTGAATGTACTCTGAGTGCCACTGCAGCAGAGTGTACTACAATGAGTTGAGATTTGTTTTGGGTCCTGGTGTAAGTTTGCTACATAAATTAAGGCAAATAGTTTACATTCCCATGGTTTTCCTTTTTATTATGAGACGGGATTAGTAATTCTGCAAAACCTGTTAAGTTACTGGGGCTGACAAATGATGAGACCAGCTCTATGTAAACAGAGGAATGAAGCATCCTTTGCTAGCACAGAGCACAAATCATCACTATTTTAAATTTCATCCTAAAAACTGATAAAAAGACATGCTTATAGCTTCATAACTGATTGAAGTGGATCTGAATTTCATTCTGTATACCCTGCTAGATGTTTATTCTGCAGTGTAGATTTCAGCTTGTTTCTTCCTAATGGCTTTCACATATGTATGAGTTAAGCAGGTTTTGCTACCTGTGTGTGCCAGCTGTGGAGTGGCTCTAAAATGTGGTACAATAGGCTGAATAAAGTGACACACCCCTGATTCACCTTGATTTATGGAATGTAGCAGGCGTGGCAAAATACAGGCCTGTAAAAGAGGGGGAAAAAACATCTCCAGCTACTCAGGGGTTATGTGTCAAGTTCAAGTCAAGGTCCTTCTGGGGTTTTTTTCCTCTGAGTCTCTTTTTGATTACACAAATTCAGCTTTGTGAATATGCACATGGCAGCTGATCATGTGGAGGAGGGATACGTCCTTTATAAATGACTTTGTTGTATTGCCTTAAAAATATTTTTTACACAGAGTGAACTAGAGCTCCAGGGAATGTATAACAGACAAGGTACAATATTTTGACCAATTTCATTAAGTTACAATTGAGTTCTTGTTAAAAACTTTATGTGCAGATGCAGGCAACTTTTAAGCACCGAGGCTCTTTTGCCAGCCTACTTTTGTAGCATACTCACTCATCTATTCAGTCCTGAAAGGTGTGAGTAATCTCTTGTTTACCCTTGCCCACATGCTTTGAAAACCATTTGCAGTGTTCACTTATTCAGAAGCCCAGCCTAATGTGTTGTGCCCAGTTTGACACATCATACAGGCAGCACACCACAGCAGCTCTGAACTCTGAGCTGGTCTGGCCAATATCTGTCTAATGTGTTTAATTCAGCTCTTGGTTCCATTTACAGTGTTTGCCTACAAGAAATGGCTGAGTTACATGTATACTGACATTAAGAGAAGTAAAACTGAGCACTACTGAGATGTTTGCCTTTCTTCGCCTTGATTTCTCTGTTGTATTTTAGCCCATGTTTGCCTTTAGAGGCTGCAGTTCTAAGCACTGGATGCTGCCAGAGCTGTCCAGATTTAGTGCTGGAGTACAATTGAGCATTTGCAGCTCAAAAAACATTGGTCAATGCCAGAAGAAAAGAGCAGGCAACCTCAAAATATTCTCAGGGGTTGCTAGGTTTAGTACAACGCTTAGATGAGAAACCATGCCCTCTAGTTGGCAGTGTTGTAGAGGTGAGGCAACTGAATTTATATGGATTAATTAAATTTGGGGTTAAACTTGGACTAATTTAATTTGGATTGTTTAACCTGGAGAAGAGAAGGCTTAGGGGTGACCTAGCTCTGGCTTCTATCACCTGAAGGGTGCCTACAAGAAAGATGGAGAGGGACTTTTTACAAGACCGTGGAGTGACAAGACAAGGGGGAATGGCTTCAAACTGAAAGAGAGCAAGTTTAGATTGGATATCAGGAAAAAAAGTCTTCTCTGTGAGGGTGGTGAGGCCCTGGCACAGGTTGTCCAGAGAAGCTGGGGGTGCCCCATCCCTGGAAGTGTTCAAGATCAGGTTAGAAGGGGCTTGGAGCAACATGGGCATAGTGGAAAATGTCCCTGCCCTGTATTGCATATTTTCCTGAACAAGAATTATTTCCTGTATTTCCAGTTTTATTCTCAATTTTATCCATGTGATGGAGACCTCTGTCACCATTTTTCCATTTTTGCTCAGTAGTTTTTTTAATCTGTCATTTAACTTGTAATTTACTGTGTTTTGATGCATCTTTATAAAATTGAGATGAAAAAAAATAGACGTTTCATGAAACCATAAAAAGAGCTGGGTAAGTAACAGCTGTTAAACTTTATTAGACCTTAAGCTTTTAGTGCCCATTTAATCCAAAGTATTGCTTGTGTATGGAGGCTATAAAGAAAAAGGGCTCTTAACCTTTCTGTTTCTCAAAATTTGTGGAAGGAGATCCCTAAGGCTGTATGACAGGGTGATACAGAGGACTGTAGTGTCTCTGCCTTCTTTATTTCAGTTACCAGAGCCTCCACTGCAAACAGGCTTGAAGCTGGGTTGCTGAGCTTTTCAAGGGTGCTTAGTTTCAGAGATAAACAAGGCTGTTGAAATTATGCCAGATTTTAAAGGCAAACAAAAATGTTTTTCTTGGAGCAGTTAGGCAGATAAAATGTTGGTATTTCTTAGGCTCTTAGGTATTCCAATGCAATTTCTAAACATGGACTTAAAGACCAAATCAAGTAAAGTTTTACAAAATGAACTGTAGAATACCAAAAATAAAGGGCTTTGAAACATCAAAATTGGGAACAATTAGGTGCTGTAGCAGGTAAAGCAGTTTTTCAAATGTATGTTGACAATGACTCCTGGTATTTTTAACAACTAAAAGCTGTTGATAACATGAGAATTAAGTGTCCTGTGCAAAGTGATTTTCTATTGTTTGTCTGGTTCTAAGTGGAGAAATGTCTGTCATATGCAGAGTGAAATTTATGGGTGTGTTGGCTTTAAATATGCCTTTTATGCAGCCAGCAGGCAAGGAAATCTGGGTGAATGTGAATCACCACTACTACAGTGGGGTCCTGGATTCATGAACCAGCCCCTCAAGACTGCAGAATCCAGGTCAGTTCAGCAGAACAACAGATGGATTTCTGGATGCCTGCTTCAAGGATGTGCTGACTCCTGTGTAAAATGTGTCATCCTGAACATTTTCCAAACCACTGTCTTCTGAAATAATTCTTTGGTGTGTTTGTTTTTCTTACTGCAGTACAAATAGAGTACAGATAAAGGAACAAATAGTGGGATAAAGTCTTGTCCTCGTGCTGTTTAGTGCAAGATTGGCCGTGGATAGAGGATTACTGTTGATGAACTGTGTAGAGATGAGGTGCTGCCAAAAGCTGAGGCTGGAAATGGTGCAGGAGTTTGTGGTTGATTTCCTCCAGGTATTGAGTGCAGCCAGGAGTGAAAACAAAGTGGTATGAATTTATTGCAAGTCCCTTGTAGTATGTCTGTAAACCATGACCAGTCTGTCTCCTAGAGCCCACAGTGTAGTTTTGATGATGTCCTTGAACTACATGTCGCAAAGCTTTGAAAATTTTGAATATTTATGAAGGAAAAAACTTGGTTTTTTGGTTTTATTTTCGTTGTTGTTGTTTGGTTTTTTTTTGGTTTTTTTTTTTTTTTTTTTGTGAGTGTTTGGAGTTTTTTGTTTTTTGTTTTTTGTTTTTTGTTTTTTGTTTTTTGTTTTTTGTTTTTTGTTTTTTGTTTTTTGTAAAACCAACATCCTGAATGGCCAGGAACCTTCATGATTTTGCATTGAGTGCGCTTAAGTGCAAATGAAGGGTCTGATCCTCTGGGATGCTAAGATCCCTCAGAAACTGAGGGACAGTAAACTTTGTTGACCATCATTCAGTTTCAAGTTCAGCTGTTTCCAAGAACTCTGAGTGTTTTAACCGTTCAAGATTTTTTTTGCATGTCTTTGTCTGGAAAAAGATACTTTAGAGCAAGCAACTGAAGGGCCTTAATTTCTTCAGGTTATGAGGAATGATTTACAGGCTCTTTGCTTAAATTGTGCAAGTATCTTCATTGAGAAAAATGAAACTGAAGGACTCTTTTATTAAACCATTAAAACTAGAGGAATATCCAACTGGAAATGACCAGAGAAATTCCTGTAAAAGCAGGTTGCTATTTCTAAACAGGGAACCACTGAAGCTACTTGTGGCACTGATGGATGAGTTGAAGTTTACAATATTATGGAATGTCTAGAATATGTGCAATTTATTGCTTCAATAAAGGTGTACCCAGGTAGAAGTCTTCAGAATCTGTACTAAATAGTGTAATGTGAGGTTTTGCCTCTGATTCTTAATCTCTGAGAATATGTGAGGTGCTCTCTTTAGGGATCTGATATTCTTGTCACTCTTTGTTCTTTCCACCCTTCTCTTCTACTCTGGAGGAGAGGGATAACTGACTCTAGCAATGCAGGAATTTCTTTACAAGTCAGTCAGTCTTCTGCTTGTCATTTTTAAAATAAGTGCAAGGTGGAGGAGCTGATTTCTGTTGGGGTTTCAGGGTAAACTGCTGAAGTTTCAGTAGTAGCTTCAGCAGTCAGAGTGTGTCATTGCCCTTATCCTTCAGATAAATCAAGTTGCTCTAAGCAAACAACTTAAATACCAGTAAATGTCTCTGTGTGTTTGGGCTGCTGAACTGAGCTCAGTGTGTCTCTGCAGAGTGAACAAGGCAGTGATCTGGGTTCCTAGGCTCAGTTTTGATGTCCATTTGTGGGCTTCTAAATGTAGTTAAATATCAGCCTTGCTGTCTAAACAGACAAATCTATTTTGGGGAGCTCTGATAACTGGACTGTATTAAAGACCATCTTCATCTCCTTTTGATGTAATTATTTCCATCATTTTCTATGATGTACTTTGAGGTGCTCATTGGTGTCCATTGGACTGTAGAAATAATCAGTGATTTGCTTATTCCAGGTGCTGAACACTAACAAAATTTTAACTTGTGTCTAAGTATGCTAACTGGACTTGTTGATTCTGGTATGTCTTCCTTTAAAAAGAGTAAAGTTGAAGTAAAATCAGAAATTCAGTCATAAAGTAAAAAACAAGCTTCTCTTGAAAGTGAGGAGTTCTATTGCTCATGTTCTTTGTCCTTTTATGAACTTTACTGCTTGTGGTTTTTGTGTTTCTGCAGAGCTGGTGACCAGGATTACCAGTGGCTCACGTGGGTCCAGATGGTCAGTGACACAACCTGGATTACAGAATTAGCAGCAGAAAGTATTGTGTTACTAACTTCCACATTAACTCAACACCTTACAGATTTGGTAGCAGAGGAATTTAGGGAATGGATCAGATTGGTGATCTCTGTTTTGTAATCTTGCATTCTCATGGCTTTAGGGTGGGACTGTTACTCAGAGGGCTTTAGTTGTGCTGAGACTTTTTTTTTTGCTCTCCTGCCTCATACAACCTCTTCCCTCTCACTTCTGTGCAGGAGAGAATTCCCATTTCACTGGACACTTAATGATCACTTTCGTTGCTCTTGGAGGGTGGCAGAGGAAAGAAGAACTTGGATAACTCACAATAAAGAAACCCACATGAACTGTATTTATTTTTAAATAATACTCACCTTATGCTCTTACTCCTTGTTTTACTTCTGATATTTTAAACCCTCCAGCAGGTGCTGCTGCATCCTGCAAATGTCTTCGTGGAGGGAAAAAAAAATGTCACAGACTGGACTACAACTGGACTTTGTTCTTTGTTTTGTGTCGTGCATATTTCTGTGTTCTTTTTTCCCCCTCAAACTCTCCTTAATAACTCAAAGGTGAGTTATTAAGGAGAGAGTTTTTATGATCCCAGGAGTTTAATCCTGCAAGCACTCTGTAAGAAGGGGTTGAAGATCAGTGGGAGTTGCTGATCAAAGTCATGCTGAGAGCAAGCTGAACAGACCCAGGCAGAAATACATTTGTCTTTCTACAACATATGAAGAAATCCAAGTGTTTTCTTAGAAGTGAAAAGTAGTCCTAAAAGAAGTTGAATTTATAAAACTTACCTGCTGTTTTATTGCTTTTGTGAAGTTTCTGGAACTTCAGTAATTTAAGTTCATGATTTTAAATCGGTCTTATCATTAGCCTTGGTCTTGAGTGTTAGAAGTTTGCAAGACAGATTACACAGCACCCATTTCAGAATCTCTGAGTTAGGATTTCCAGGATTTAGTGAGGAATTGTGGCTGAGTTACATACAGCTAATTTAAAGAGATGTGCTTTGTCCTGTTTGGTGATGGACCACTTGTGCCAGGCAGGAATGAGGGGGTAGTAAGAGTTGAAATTTGGCCTTGGTAATGAGTAATGTATCCTTGCAGTCCTTGAGTTGCAGCAGGCCAGAAATGCCCTCGAGAACTGAGAGATCTCATTGATCTCTGATACTTACCTGCATATTTGTACTGCACAATCACAGTGATTAAACTTGTTTGTGACCATGATCTTGGCACTTTTCTGCTTATCTAGGAGCCCTATGTTTAAATATGATGAAATATTGCTTTGCTTTTGATATTTAACTATTATTATTACTCTAAACTTCTTAATATAAGGGTAATGGCAGTTAACTACAGTCATAAATCCCAGGCAGGCTGCACCTGCTGTCCTACACTGTGAAACATCTTGTGTTCCCTTCTTGTTCTGCCTGGAATGGCTTGAATTACCATCTTTCTCTTTCACTTCTTTTCTTTATTTCTTTAAGAAATCTAACCTGGCTGTGGCAGTTACCACTCAGGAAGTTACAAGGCTGGGCCAGGAGTACACCTTCATTTTCCTTTTGACTCAACTCCAAAAGATTAAATATTCATTTATAAGAATTCATGTAATAATCTATGTAATCCAGATGCAGTAAACATGGAGATCAAAAGGCTTTAGTCAATAAGGCTTGAAGTTCTCATGACTTTAATAGATTGGTAACTTTATAATAATCTGATAACTGCAGGTTTGGATATTCCAGAAGTTTCAGGTCTGTTGAATTCAGTTGCTCTGGAATGTGTATCTGTCTCTATAAGGGCAGTTAATTCTTTGCTAAAGCTGGCAGTATTCACCACTTTAGGTTCTGTGCAGTTTGGTGTGTCTCTCCATTCATTAGAGAGAAGGTACTGTATACACAAGGTGGCAAACAAGATTTCTACAGTGTATGTTTTACAACATGAGATACATAACCAAAATGTGATTATAATTGATGCATTATGTATATGTAATCATGATTAATACTTCTTCATTGCTTTCTTTTCCTATATTCCCAGGGTAGCTCATGAGAGCTTTTATAGTTTTGGCCCTAGTTTATAGTTCAGAGGAAGACAATGCCAAATGTGAAATGTGTGGCCCCCAAAGTGAACAAGTGGCAATGTTGGGAAGAGTTAAAATTTATCTCTTTATAATTTTTTGGGGTAGTTTTTTCATAAATGTTCTTCAGTTGTTGATGATTTTGTAAGTAACCACTAAAATGTTGTAGATGATTGCTTGTATTATTGAGGCAGTTTTGCCTTGCTTTTCCTTGAAGTTTTTGTGAAAAAACTCACTCCTATTTTGTGAAAATATGAGTGAGTGGGTGAAGTCTGCATTTATACCTCTTTACATAAATAAGATTTCCAGTAGAACTGTTTTCAACTTCCTATGTAAGAATACTTATTTTTTTAACTGTAGCTTTCTAGTATTGATAGGTTCTTTAGCTGGTTTTTGCTATACTTATCCAGACAACATCTGGAGGAACAGCTGATTACAGCTCTTGAGATACAGTTTCCAGGAGTCAGATCGACAAAGGGGTTAAAAGTGAGACAGCCTTTTACTTGGTGGAAGTGCAGTTGTTGATTCAAGGCTCTCAGTAAATGATTGTTGGAGATCTGCCATGTGTAGCTGAGCATTCAGAAAGTACACCACAGACTCTGTTTCCTCCTGAGGAGCCTTGTCTGTCAACATCTCACTTTAATTGTAGTCTGTAAGGTACCAGCAGGCAGGCAAAGCTCACCAGCCAGCAGCCATGGAAGATCCAGTCTTCACTGAAATCAATGAAAATGCTAACAACAGCAGTGTCTCTGAGGTTTCAGATTCTGAGGAAAATAAAGGGGCTGATCTTTTTGATCATGTCCATGAAGATTCAGCATCCCCTTTTTCCATCACTAATACCCCAGAAAACATGGATGGTAGTAAGGAGAACTCAGAAGACAGCTGTAATAATTCTGTGGCCTCTCAGCATGGAAGTGATGGAGAAGATGATTCTTCATCTCACCATGGTGCTGAAGAAGACTACCCACAGCAGCAGATGGATCTGATGAGCCCAATTCTGGAAGATAAAGATGAAGAGGGCTCAGCGTTTGAGAGCAACCTGCATTTTCCTCCGGATTTCCAGTTTCGTCAGAGACAGAGCACTTTTACCAACTCTTCAACTTCCCTCAAGTTTCCCCTTAACAATAACTCTGGAGAAACAAACAACTTTCAGGAAGATTTTGAGATTTCTGTTTTTGTAAAGGTAAGAACCTGGGTGCTCCTAAGCATACTCTACTTTTAAACCCCAAATCAATATGTGTGTCCTCCAAATCAGTGAAATACAGCTACCCACTGCTTTGTTCTCAACTCTGCTGCAGGGAGCCAATCTCTTCACTTACCTCTTGCATCTGTAAGCAGAGAAAGAGGTGATTTGTGTTGTGTGGAAATGCCTGGGATTTCTTCATTCAAATGGCAGTATGGTGCAGGTATTCTGATTGTTGCTGCAATTCATTTTTTCTGGGAAATCTCTCTGCTGTTACAGCTAGGCTGCTACTACTTAGTTGAGCTAGTTCAGCTATCCCTGCACTTCACTATCTAGTAACTGAGAGCTCAAAATTAATAACTGTGAATGCTATGAAGAAAACTGAATATATAGTTTGAATAATGCTCATCCCTGAAAGAAGTTTTTCTTTCCTTTCTTTCAATATTTAGATGTAGGTATTTCTGTAACAATTTCAACATGTATTTTCATTAATTTCCAGTTAGGTATAAATTACTGAGAGGGCTTTCACACCTTCTCTCACCTTATAAAGCATTACTTAGGTCTCAAAACTGTAAACACCTGTGTTCTTGAATAAACACTATGATTCCCTTCAGAAACACACTTGTATTTAATCTTTCTCAACATTTATTGGGCTGAAACACAGGCCTGACAATTCCTTCTTTTTAACTATATAAAAATGTTCAAGATCTTGTATACCTTGAATAGAACAATACACCATGATTATAATATTCTGTCATTTCAAGAGAAGCTTCATGAAGTTTGTCACTTTTCAACATAAATAATATTATCAAAATCTGTTTCTCAGTTCCATGGGGGCTTTGGAAGCTGGAGAAGAGATTTTGTCTCAACACATAATGAGAAGTATTTTCAGCAGTCATTATTTGGTTAAATGACTCCCTGAAACAGCCCCTGTCCTATTTCTGTTACTGGATCATGGTCATTACTAAAAATATATTGGTTATATGGTCAAAGTAAGAGCTGTGACATTAGTTCTATTTTATATTTCTGCATGTAGTCCTGTGTATGTGTTAAAAGTTGCAGCAATTGAGTACATTTTGTTGGTTAGCAACTACATGGTGTTAGCAACTTGTATTTGGGCTTTAAAATCATCTCTTTATTTTTCTTATTCTTTTACATTGCTCTTATTTCAAAATAACAATGTCTTATTTTTCTATGGATGAAATAAGAAATGTGTGCAGATGTTCCCATTCAAGCAGAGTAGTTTGGGTTAATTTGAAAAAGTGAGAAGAGAGGCATTTTGAATAAAACTGTCAGGGACAAGGTCTGAGGAAGTCCTTTTCCTTGCTTTTGTTGTGCAGAGTAGTTGATTATCCCATAAAGGTCCTTATCAGCTACTCCAGAGAGAAAGGCAAACTGTGCTCTCTTCACTTTGGAAACGTGACTGCCTGGTGTCTTTGAGATGTCCTTGAGCCCCAAGAGATCCCTACCTGGCTGAAAGGCTGAGACATGAGGCTCTCCATGCTGTGCCCAGCGGGCAGGGCACTGGGTACTGCTGGGTAGGTGACTGAACTGAGCTCCTGTTACAGTGTTTCTCTCCTTGAGAACCTGCTGATGTTTAGTTTTTGGCTTTTTGGTTTTTTATCTTTCTGGTGTCAAGGTAATAAAGCAGTAACTCCATGGAGTGCAGATCCAGCTTTGCTCTCTTTAATTATCTAGATAGCAAAAGTCAGCCTGTAAAATGGAAGGTCACAGAATAATTTATAACAAGAGTAGTGAAATCCCTGAGGCCTGTGGCATCTTGCACATGGGGCTAATATCTCAGTTGTGTCAATAAATATTACTCATAGATGGTTCCCTTCTCACATGGTCTCTAGTCCACCTGAGGCCAGTGTTGCTCTGAAATTGGGTTCATCTGGGTTTGCACTTTTCTGCAGACACTAACAGTGACAGCAGGACCTGGTGCTGTAGGACAGCAGTGATCATGACAATTCTGCCCTTATTTATTCCTCCCTTTGCTTGTAGACCTAATAAATCTCTGTGAATGACTGGAAACGTGAGTGTCAGAGGACTGAAAACCAGAAACAGTGGGAAGATTAAATGGTATCTAACTCACAGTGCAGCTGGATGGATAATGTTTACAGTAGTGCATTC